GAAATAATGAACAAAATAATATAAACACGCCACATAATATGCAAAGAATCAGAAGATAAAAGGAACATCCACAACTACAACCTACAATCTACAATTACCGAAAAGCATGCATTAAAAAATATTGAATAGTTTTAAAAATAAAACCTGAAGATGATGCTGAGACATCGAAACATGTTGTAATATATAGCGCAAATTGTAACATCGAGAAAACGATGAATAGCGCGAATTATTTATATCAATTTTAATTTTAAACATCAATATTAAAATGGTTTGTGTATAGACTTGAAGAATAAATATATGTAAGAATATAAGGTGCTAATACTAAACAAAACATATAATAAATCATGGGAGATCATGTGGAAGCAGAAGTGACTTGACATGCAGATTTCTTCTCAAAAACTACACGTTATCTATTTTCAATTCCTTCTTATGAGATATATTGAAGACACTACTAACTGCATACACCAAGCAAATATAATACCTCAGCCAATGTGCAGCAATGGAGGAAAGACAACAGTTACTATATGCACTTTTATTTTCTGGTATCAAAGATGGTCACATGAGAGGCAGCATATGGGCCACGTCTGATAGGCCCAGTTTCAGGTTTAACTAAACTGCCATTTCAATATGTTAATAAAAACTTGTTTCATCTATTTGCACAATACTTTTTACATTTAACAGTTATGATGGAAACATTTGAGTAAAAATTTTGTCCTACTTCTAATGGTTACACCCACAAACATTAATAATAATCTTTCTGAATATACATGAGTGTCAGTTTCAAAGGTGTAATTCATAAAAAAATTAAAGTGAAAAGTTCCTTACAAGAGCACATTATTAAATTAAATATTGTTTTGCAAAAGTAGAGGAAAGAATTTTATAAATCATCATATCAGACAGTAAATGATATTTTAAATTTTCATGGCAGTAAAGATTTTTTTATAATTTTTTAAACACTATGTAGGGAATTACATTTTGGCGGAACCTCCTGCTCCCTCTTCAGCAGAAGTGAAGACTCACAGCAGCAGGATGAACTTCTGGGTTGCAATGTTGTGGGGACTTTTAGGTACATACCAATGTTTCAGATGAATATACTGAAGGGAACATTTAAAACGTTAGCAACACTTTTATAAATGTAACAATTAAATTGCTATGACAGTTAAAAAATTCTGTAGCATTAGCAATGATTACTGTACACTTTGTCAACCCAGCTATTTGAGATTCTTAAGCTGACCACCTAGCTTACTCTTACGAGGTGCGATCGGAAAGTTTCCAGACTGCGCGTATAAAAACCCGTACGCTTATCTCAGGTATTAAATTCATCCATCACCCTCGAAGTAGTTCCCCTGGGAGTGAACACAACAATCCCAGCGCCGCTGCCAAGCCTGGAAGCATCCCTGGAAATCTTTCTTTGTCAGCCTGTCAAGCACCATCTGCGATTCTGCCTGAATCTCTTCAATCGTCTCAAACCTTCTTCCCTTTAGCTGAATTTTCATCTTTGGGAAGAGGAAGAAGTCACACGGAGCTTAGAAAGGAAGTTGGGGTCGGTTCTTGCAAGATCTTTGAGCTCCTGACAAACGAGAAGTCAAGTCGATTCTGCTTCTGGTCCTCAGACAGGATGCGTCGCATGTGGAGTTCTTCCTTTAGAATCAGCTGACAGGCCCCATAGCCTATCCCAACAATGTCGCACAAGTCGTCGATGGTACGACGTCGATCTTCGTGAAGGGCCTGCCGAATCTTCGTAACATTTTCGGGCGTTGTCCTCGAAGATGGTCGTCCAGAACGCTCGTCATCATCGACAGAGGTTCAGCCATTTTTAAAACGTGAATGCCACACAAAAGTTTGTGCACGACCCATTGCGCACTCCCCAAATGCTTGCTTTAGCATTTCATAGGTTTCCATAGCCGTTTTGGCGAGTCTTTGGCAAAATTTGATGCACACGCCATTCCGAAATCGCAGGAGGGTCGGTGTAATGCACTACCAAAACGCCCGTAACTAAGAAACAAATGCTAATTCGATGAGGCCGGCTGGCACACTGATTCACTATGAATGTAGGCCGCACCCCCTAGCAGCAGAAGCTCGTACTACATCCCACTATGAATGTAGGCCGCACCCCCTAGCGGCAGAAGCTAATACTACATCCGGTTCGCCCTCTATTGACACAGTCTTTAAACTTTCCGATCGCACCTCGTACATGGAAAGGAAATATGAATTAACAACACGTGGGTTAAAATCTCTCCCCTCCTCTAAAAAAGCATGCAAATAAAATTAATTCTGTCATAATTAAGTTGCGAAAGAAAAGTTTGGTTATGAAAGGCCCAACATTTATATCAACAGCATCATTTATACGTAAACATACAAGATTCTTCAAAAGAGCCCTCAAAATAAAATCCCAGATTTGGTGCATGCTATTCATTATGGTGCTGTTCCATTTAAAATAAATATAATGCACTTACATTTTCAAGTTAATTTATTTTACCACATGGTACCCCAATTTATTCTGTCTGAAGTTTACACTCGGCCTGACAGCAAACCAAACATCTTTCTGTTTGAATGTATAACAAATCACAATATCTATCTTCGATGTATTTTGCTTCAATTCTAATACTGTTGGACCCAGTCTGTAAATGTACCATAATGCAACTTCCCCAAAAGGTTGTCTAAAGTACACATATCAGTCTGCCATTGTTTTACTTTAGAAGGTCTGCTCATCTGGAAGCAAAGCCACATTCTTAGGCAGTAAACTGTTTGTCTGATTTTAAGCTTAAGCATCTCTGGTCCAACATGAATCCTTCAGCATGGGAATGTGATCATCATACCCCCAAGATGTTATCTGTCTACCATCAATTCCATACTCGGCTTTGTGGCACTCTCATTTGACCAATTCTTTTACCACATGAACTAAACTTATCAAAAAGAGCAAATGCAAATGCAGGTTATAAAACTAAGGTACTGATAGAATATCTTAATATCCAGTTTTCTGTTGGACAAAAATATTGCTCTCCCTGCACCAGGGCTCCATAACTAATAACCAAATTTACTAACCATTTAACAAAATTCACTTGCAGATGGTGTCACAATATGTTTCATATATCTTATAGAAGAAACTCATGTTAAATGTTAAAATCAGAGAACATTAATGCTGTCTTTAATTTGCTTTCTGCAACTAACATGATAAATCTTTGATGATTATATCTGTAATGCATTTAGACTATCACTAAATGTATTTTTCATCAATCTCTTTTAAATCACTCATGGCAAGTGTGTTTGTAGAGACAAGTGTACAATGAAAATGATCTTGCACCTAAGATTTAAGGAACCACATTGGTTCTCTGTTCTTTTACATTTACATAATTTATGAAAAATTACAATAACTTTCATAAAAGTGTATAAAGCTCCTTAAGTTTTTTTAACCTAAAAATGTTCACTAGAAAACATCATGAGAAGAGACCATGTAGGAGACAAAGGGTGTGAAGAATACCCTCAGGTTCCACAACAGGGAATTTCTTAACCAGCTGAACAACTATCAGCTGCTCCAGGAAGACCCTACATGATACAGTCATATGTCTGTGTGCTTTTGCTGCCAGGTTCTTTTATATTATAAACTTGAAATACCACATCTTATTAAGACATTGTGTGATGTTTGCTTCCATGAAATTCTGAGCATTATGTTATGCGGTTATTCAATGAACCCTCTTTTCCTGCCAGTGAACTGAATGAGTTAAATGATGCAGGTGTTGCTAGGCCTGCAATGATAAAACATGACTGATGCTTGAAGACTGGTTTTCTACTGCATTTTAACACAATGAGGGCCAATGCTGCATACTGTGTCCAGGCATACCAGGTTTTTATAATTTTTAAGTGTGTTCACATCTCTATGGAGCACCTATTAAAATCATTTTACTGGTCTGTCCCTCTGTCTGTCTACATGCATGTAACAACTTGAGAATGGCTGAATAATTTTTTATAGAATGATATACTGAGTTTTATAAAAATTGTCAAACCATTTCAATTTTCATGGTTGAGTTTAATGGCCACTTTACAGAAAAGTATTTCCTTGATGTACTATTAACTGATTGACCTATGTAATGGTGATGCATGTTTTCTTTGAAGTACGATCTGAACGTTTTGGTTGGCATGACAATGTCAGCCCAACAACTTGATCTTTGTCTTGGTAACATGTTTTGTATTCTTTGAGGTAGGAACTTAATCTTCTGGCTGTCATGATATCTGAATAACAAACTGATTTCATAATTTTTAATATTACTGTGTTCTTGTTGCAAGAACCAAATTTTTGTACTGACAAGGCATCAGACCTGCTGAAGGCCACCTTTCCTGTTCATATGAGAGCATCAAAAGTTAGCTTTAATAAAATGAAAATCAAAGAGGCAATGATAGGATAAATATGCCACAACTGTTATGCATACATATGCCAACTTCTTTAAATCATTTTTGGCTATGGATATCCACTGTTTTAACAAGTGAATTGTTACAGACACTATAGTCACACCACAGCAGTAAATGAAAATTATTGTTACCATGTGGGAATCCAGTTTGAATAAATAATATAATAAGAATATCTACTGGTAATAATAATAAGATTGGTTGCATGATACTTCTAGCATTGTAATACGTGACAAGTTCAAGGAAAATCCATTTGCAGGATTGCACAATTATAGACTCAGATCAGGAATAAAATAATCCTGATCATAATAATACTGAATCTGTAGCTAGTAGTGGCATTAGAAACAATAAGACTGTTTTAGTAAGAAACACATGTACTGGATATGTTAAGAAAACAGAGGTTACATTTTAGTCACACTGATAACAAGCTGGTTACAGTGTAAATGTAAATAGCAGTAAATGTTCCCTGGGAATTCATTTATACTCCAGTATTTAAATTATTCATATATGTGGATTAGTTCACGTTAATTTTTTTTTTATAAAAGATAACATAAAATGACCATGAGCAACAGGTTGTATGAACTGGCTCTTGATGTTTTAACAAACAGTAAAACAGTGCAAAATACTTGATTTTAAGATCAGCCTTCTGTTATAAAATGCTTATAAAAGAGCCTGTAACACTTGGTCTGGCAGGAAGTGGGTTCACTTTGCATCTTATTATAATAATGGATAATGTTCTATTTTAATTAGCACTCGCATATTAACTGTGTACAGGAACTAAAACTTAAGATTATTGGATCTGCTGTATTATGCTGCATCTTGAAGCAGAATGTTTAATTTGTTTAAAAATAAACTGGAACAATGGCTATTATGTAAATTCTTAAGCAAAATATACATCATACTAACATCAACAATTCTTGCAGTTTCTGTTGTTATAAGTTGAGCTAATGCTGTTCCAAAACACACCCATTAAGCTGTCTATACGGACTGTGTAAAAATGCTGCAGTTCAAATGAAACTGTATTACAAAATGATAAACATCTGGTTAATTTTTCAGAACCAAATTATAAAAAAATCACTTTTGAAATGTCAATAACAAAGCTAAATTCAACTAAGTTTTCTCTCTCTAGTGCTATATTTATATACTGCACAACAGAAAAGATCTTGGTTTGCTAATCACCATTAAATCACAGGAATATTTACTATTACAACACAATAGGGAGTATCACATCTCTCAGCCATTCATTGTTATGAGTAACCCCTTTACTGAGGCTTATAATAAAACAAAAATATTTCAGAATCTTATGTCCAGTGATGTTTCTCATCTACTACAGCTTTCAATGTCTTTTGGAGGGGTGAGAAAAAAAGGTGATAACATACATGTTGAGCTTTTGGCTACAGTTAAGAGCTCATATAAATGCAGCAAACTTCAATATCCTAATTATAAGGCATTAAGTAGTTTTATGAGGCCACTGCACCTCCTATATCGCCACTCTCTTGACAGATGTCACATAACCTAACCTATCTATGATGACATACCAGTTCTACTAATCTGAAACATTCCACTGAATCCTCAACACACTGTATGAGGCAGATATCAGAGCACCACTCTTCAGACTTTTCACAATACTTTCTGTAGTAAGGCTAGATGTAAAGTGATGTGCCACACTTACTGGCTGCATCTATGGAACATGTTTTCAGCAATTAGGCTGTAACTTGGCCTAATTGTAGCAAGCTTCATGATGTTTTCTGTGGAGATGATACAGCCCGATCTAAACCCAGAGCCTGCTTCAACAAGCGAACAACATTTTTCGCTTCTGCAGGTTCATTTTCTGGGGAAAGAAAAACATTACTAAATTCTCATGTGTTGTTAATATAATAGTGACTCTATAAGAAATTTGATTCATGTCAATAAGGAGCTGTTCTTCAGTGGGGTGAAATGTGAGAGGACTTTAACTTGAAGGTTTGTGAGCAGTGACAGGCAAAGTTTAGCCTGGGAGAAATAAAAATAAGAGAAAAAGAGAAGATAATTCATTGTGGCCTGCAATGTCAGAATGGTTTTAAGAAGGTCCTTCAGATTTTTTCTATTTTCTCATATATTGTAAACTACCTCACCTACAAATAAAGAAAGGTAGATTTTTCTTGAAATGCTAGCTTTGAGGTGCCTAATACAAGTATTAACTATATGTACATCGATTTTTCCAGTAATTGGGTATGGGAAAATCAAGTGTAGTCAATTCCAGATTAGGTTTAATGCATATCTTATGTCAATGCAATAAATCATGGAATACAGCACAGAAATATAAGGCAAAATCTCAACATACCATTCCTACTTTCCAAAAGATGTGTTCATTAAACATCATTTGTTATGTAAAAACTCATCAGAAGCTGCACACAAAAACATTTCTGAAAACCACTCTAGGGGACTGAAACAACCAAATTGATTAGGTTGTAAGTTTCATCTGATTATGGAAGCAGAGCAAGCTTCTAAAATGTGAGTTTTCTAAACTTACAAACAAACGAAAATGTCCACTAATATGCATCAGTATAGGGATAAATCAGTTTCTGAGACTAATGGATCTTATTATGACAGCTAGAGACATGAACCCTGCTGGTAAGTATTGCGTGGAGGCTGAAGCTAATATAGAAATAAAGAAAACTTCACAATTTGTATTCTTCAACTAATTTATCACTGTAATTAAATCAAAGAGGATGAGAGATGCAAGCAGAATGCAATGAATGAGATGAAGTGCTTACAAAACATTGGTCAGAAAAACCAAAGAAAAGTGGCCATTTTGTAGCTAGGAAAATCTCAAACCAACTTGGTATGTGGAATGTGTTAAACTGGCCAACGATACAACCCAAACACAGGGCTTCTGATAACATGGTAAATGTGACTAAGGGAAACTGATTATGAGTATCAGTACAACAATGGAGGGCACTAACACTAGATTACAAGCATTAAGATCAAGGCAAAATATACTAACCTTCTGGATTGCTAATCTCACGCTCCAAATTAAGCTTTTCTTGGGCTACTTGGTGGATTCCCTCTTCAATTGTGCCTTCACTTAGTAACCTCGTTACTGTCACGCTCCTATTGCAGAAGTTACAGTTAATAATACTGCACGGTTCAAGTAGTTGAGATTGCAAAGTTCAAATTACTGGGAATGACAATAACGAATGAAACTCACAACTGTAATGAACAATAAATTAAATACAGAAAATGCTTCCTACTATTCTGTTCAGATATCTTTATCTTCCTAAGTCTTGTTTAAAAACAACAATCAGACTGAGCGTGTTTAAGAACAAATAACTTATGGGACTAGTAATGTACTTAATGAAGAGCTTCATGATATGTACTTTTCACTTAATATTGCTAGAGTGATGAAAGAAGAGCAAGAAACATAGCATGCATGTGAAAAAATTAAAACTACATACAAAATTTTAATTCAACAAATCTTCCAAGGAAACAGGTCATTATCTGTAAACAGTTATCTGAACCACTATGTTCACCACCAGACCACTGCAGTGTTCACAATATTACAAGATTAATTTACCATGTTGTTCTGTAGTTCTCTTGGCCTGTCAGTAGATGTCTAATCAAATTACAATTTAACATGAATGTATTTAACCACTGAATTTAACAACAGAATTGATTGCAGCTACCTTTGTAAATAACATACATTTAATAAATTATTAAATTTCAAACTTTATTCATGGATCAGTACTAAACAGTAACAAAACGACAACCAGATTGAAAATGCAATTTGTTTGTCATATGACATCAAGAAATTAAGCACAGTATAGTGCCAATTATTTATAATAACTGGGGGAAGCAGGGGCTTGAATAATTAAAAAACACCAAAAATGAAAATTCTATTTTATTATAAATATCAACATCCGTGTAAGCAAAACAGGAACATACATACTCACAGTGCAAAACATTTTTAAAAAATATTAAACAGAGACACACTAAATGACTACCAAGAATGCTGATTTAACATTAATGCATCTACAAACATTTGCCAAAATAAGACAATGTATGCTGTTCACTGTAAATTTTAAGTGGAGACAATGAACAGAGTTGCACTTGATATAAGAGTGTTGCAAGTAGTTACAGAAAACATAATTATATATTAGAACACAGACAATCCATTCCACAAATAATTAGCAATCTTCTGTATATCAAAATATGTTGTGACTGATGCATATTATAGTTGTAAGATTTGAGGTTTTCACAGCAGTGAGTATGAAGATTTCTGTCTTCTGGGTTGTGCTGTGTAGTCTGGTCGATGTTTACCAGCGTTTCAGAGGTCATACTGATGGCGGAGGCAGTATGACCTCTGAAACGTTGGTAACCATCGACCAGTCTACACAGCACAACCCAGAAGACAGAAATCTTTATATTATAGTTACATGTGTCTCAAATGAAAGATACTAATAACACATTAGCCCAATGCAAAATATGAAAACTGAAATTACTGACTCACCTCGTCTGTCCAACACGATGACAGCGATCCTCAGCCTGTTTGTCGTTATATGGGTTGAAGTCTACGTCGTGGATAATGACTGTATCAGCTGCAGTAAGATTAATCCCCAGTCCACCAGCTCGAGTTGATAACAGGAATGCAAAAATTGACTCATCTGCATTGAAAGCATCAATTAATTCTTGCCTGAAACACATACAATTTGCAAAAACAATTTTATATTTACCAGAATATAAGAACCCCATTCTCAAAAGTTAAATTTACAAAAATTTAAATTTTCTTTCTAGTTTTTATGCTGAATCACATTATTTTCCAGTCATTATTCAAGATAATTCTGAAATCAAATGCAGTATCAAATAGCATCCAACCATTTTTAAATTACATATTAGTATATAATGGCTAGCAGGTAACGTCTAAAGAAGAAGCTACGGCCATGAAGTACCTCTTCTACTCCACAATGTGCACATGAGGCAAGCTCATTAATACAGAACATCTGGTCCAGTCTCAAAAACCTTCATTACATTTACACACTCATGATGGCAACACAGTAAACTGAGTTTCACATCCAGTACAGTTTGAAAGTTTGTTGATATTTATAACTATTATAGCTGACATGTTAGACATCATGACAAAAAGAAATGCTTATCTCAATATACAAATCAGGAATGAAGAAACAGAAAACTTTAAACAAACCAAAATTGATTAACCACACTAAGCATTATGGGGGATTATTAGACAGGACAGCCAGGGTCTTCAATTCAGCATGTATTCATTTTAATATACAACTGTCATGAAACAGAATGACACCTGTGAGCCAGTATTACACCAGGCAACCAACCCCACAACATTTATATCATCACACAAAATAATGATTAGCATAACTCTGCTTCCAACCTCAAGAAACATGAGCAGACAATCGTCACTCTATTTCACATCAGTTATACCTCATTACCACTATTTATGTACATATTCTCTTGAAAGACTGAAAAGGAAATAAAAGGATAACATTAAGGTGAATCATAGAGAAAATATTTATGAGGACAGGGGATGTGGAGGAGGATGGAACTGCCTTAAGATCATGTCATATGGTTAGATTTGTTATCAGTGGTGCAGAACCTTCAGGTTGTAATTCCATAGTGACTGAATCAGGTAAGCAGGCAGTTAGGTACCTGCAATGAAATCACCATGTGATGTTTTGCAGCAGGAAACCGACTCACTGGGCATGTACATGTAATGGCAGCATTCTAAGCTTGTAATTCGGTAGTACCAATTTCAAACACTAGCAGTGTTACCAGCTATTCTGACAAGTGTCTGATGGTTTTCCTCAGGTGACTGAGGCAATACCATATTGAAGCAGGTAATGTCCACAACTTTACAAACCCATACTCACTCACTATTCAACTTTCTAATGTGATGCTATAACATCTGTGCATATGAAGAAGTGTTATTAAGTAACTTAAGACTCATTCAATAAAAATTAATTTTAACATTAAACTGAGGAAAACTTTTAAGTGGAAAAGTTAAGAATATATAATGGGACAAAAAATATATAATTCAACACTATCCAAGGGAAAGATTTAAATCAAGAAACATTAAATGTAGATTCCTCCACAGACAGTAATCCTTCTTTCTCACCATGTACCTTCTTTTGAATAATTCAATTTCCACCAACAATTAACTTACAGGTTTTGTTGTAGCTACATGAATGAAAAATAGCTGACTGGTATGAATAAAGAAACATTTAGATAAACAGGTTTAATATGTTTTTATTCATTTCATACCTCTGAAAACTTAAAATGACATCTTAACTACACAAACCTTGATGTGACAGGTGTGCTGCCGTCGAGTCGCAAATTACGATACCCTCTAATATGCAGGTATTCCTGTAGCACATCCAACATGATAACAAACTGACTGAAGATGAGCACTCGATGACCGTCACTTTTTAGCCTTGGCAGCATTTCATCCAGCTTCCAGAATTTTCCAGATTCGACCAAAATCTCCTTAGGCAGCGAGTAGCCTGACAGGCACTGTAGCAACAAAAAATTTAGTAAGATCTGAGGCTCTCACAGTGGTGAGTGTGAAAATGGATGCCTTGTGGGTTGTTGCACCATATTGTCTGGTAGAAGTTCAGGTCAAACAGTAAGCAATGTGCAACTTGCTCTTCACCCTGATGATGGAGGCAGCAGGACCTCTGAAACATCAGTAAACTTCTGCAAAATTACATGAAGCAACAACATAGAAGACAGCTATCTTCACAAAAAATTAAGTTAGGAAAAAGAATTGGGGGGGGGGGGGGGG